GAACCACATCATAATACTAGATCTAGTAATGACTTGACCGAACATACCCCTGATGCTTTCACATTACACATCCATTTTGCTTTGCATAAATTACTATAGAATACTATTCAGTAATGAAATATAATAAGGATACCTATGTGGGAGGACCTGTAATGAAATAAAAGATTACAACTGCTCTAAAATAGGGGCCTATCTATCAAAACTCAAAGAAATAAATGTGATGACACTTTGACATTGATTATTCACACATAAAAAAGCATGTCAGCCTGTACCGAAATAACGGGATGGAGGAACGGGCACACATTTTGAGGCAGCATTAACCTCTGACTGCTGAACAAATCTTGGTTTTTTCTTTAAGTTCAATCAAACGAATATGTTCTTAGTTTTACAGAACGAGTTACGTCTTTTAATGCTGAATATAGCAACACACCTTCGCTGTATCCCACCTAAACAATCTAGATCTTTTCGTTAAAATGTACCAGGTACTTAATCCTTTCGTGCGTAACGTCGCTGGAAATAACTACAAACAAAGCGCAGCAGTTTCGTGAATGGCTAAGTGACTTTTTACAAACGGTTTCCCTTTTGTCTACTTGCATTTACGTTTATGATGTGAAGTATGTTCATGGAAGTCGGTGCCTAGATCATTCGTGAAGTTTTGTTTTCTCCCTAAAGTTTATGCACAATGAAAGGGGCAAGGTTATTGGCTATTGCTTTTCATTAAAAGAAATTTATTAAATGTGTTTGCTGATTTTGCAGCCGGGTAAATTGGCAGCTCGTTATATCCCTTAACAAGTAACCTGGATAGACTACTATGGTGAAGGGTGGTGTATATGTAGTTTCATAAATCGATTCTACATTTATCTAAGACACTTAAAGAAATATAGGGACATGATACTACTTATAAGTAAGTGGCAATACAAAACGTAAATGACGACAAGGGTTCTAGCAGTGGGTTCTGCAGTAACAGCTAGTGGCAACTCTCCTGGTGAAACGCTTCACGGACCATGGGTTGGTGGAGCAGACGGCGTAGAAACTGCGCAGTGTGTAGCGGCGCAGACAGCGGCCCACAGACGCACAGTTCGCGGTGAGCACGGCGCACTTGCTGCAGTTACAGTAGGCGGTGTAGATGGCGTTAGATGGGTAGAAAGGACAGCATCTGGCCGGGGGGTTGGAGCTGGTGTCGTAGAAACACGGCAGACGACGTCTGTAGCTTCGGCAACCGTATCCTTGACGACGGGGGCAGCACCTCCAGGAGACCAGGTATTGAGACTCTGCGTAGGCCACGTAGATGTTTACTTCTGCCAACGTTGTTTTGTACTGCAGCCTGAAGTGTTTCTGTAGATCCTCAAATGACACGCGCTCTTTTGGCATGTCCTCAGGTGGAACAAAGTCTTTCTGCAAAGCTTCGTCTTCGTCTTCTTCCATTTCAACTTCCTTCTCCTGTGCACCTTCCAACTGGAACTTTGTATCTGTAGGCAACAACAGAAGACCATTGTTTACAAAGTTGGTTTATATGTAAAGTACATTAAATAGTGCTTTCTTAAAATATAGTTTACATTTGAATACAATACACTTTATGTTGTTTTGAAGACAGATCACGTGACCCCCCTTAAATTAGCCGAGAGAAAAAGAAAGAATAATTCAGCCCCTGCAGTGTAGGCTGTTTCTCTCCGTGCAATCATTCTTTTAGTGACATTATTAACAAACTAATCAGTTGTTGCAGTCAATGATCTTGTGCCGGACATTTGTTTAAAACCAACATGCTCCGATAGACTACACATTTGACTTTATTATCTTAGAGAGAGAGAAACAGTGTCAAACGTCCTCAGAGATTCCCAGCTAAACTGTATAATAGGATTAAACAGAGTGGTAAATTTTCCAAGCGAATAGTCTGTTTAAAAATCAAAGACAAGGTGATAGCAAGCAAAAGTTGAAATATGACGTAGGTGTTGAGGTGCTGGGCCGATGGTTAAAGCATGGGACTTATAGTTCTGTTATCATAGGTGTGATTTCTCTGTCAAGGAAGTCGGAAGTTCAGAGGTGGATGATAAGACTTATTTTCTTCGGTACGCCAAACTGTAAATGTGCTCTCCGTATTTGACAAAGACAGAAACAAATGACGGATTGGGATTAATGTTTTTGAGCATTATCAAAAATATGTTGTAGTTCAGTTTTAGTCTGCATTTTACGGCAGTTGAAACAGATTTAGGTGATGTAAGTGCCGTGGATTAGAGGCATTACAAAAGAGTAATAAACTCAAAGCAAAATAAGGGAGGATGAGACATTATGTTTAATAGGAAAGAAGGTGCAAACGACATCAGAGCGCCCACCAACCACTCGCCAACTCTGTGTGAAGTAAGAGAAAAAAAGGGAGGCAGGACAGGAATAAACATTAGAATTAAAAAAACGTGTACAATAAAGCACTTTTTCTGGTGTCGTTCAAGCTTTCGACAAGACATGCACTGTGACATCAACAGCCAGTTTTGCGTGTAACTTAAGC